AATTGTCCTGTAGTGTGCGGGGATGTGTAGGTTAGGGTGGATTGGCCGTGCTAAATTGCCCCATAGTGTGCGGGGATGTGTAGGTTAGGGTGGATTGCCGTGCTAAATTGCCCCATAGTGTGCGGGGATGTATAGGTTAGGGTGGATTGCCGTGTTAAGTTGCCCCATGGTGTGCGGGGATGTGTAGGTTAGGGTGGATTGGCCGTGCTAAATTGTCCTGTAATGTGCAGGGATGTGCAGGTTAGGGTGGATTAGGCCTAAAATGAAAAAGCCATGCGGAATGGGGTGGGTCTTGGGTCTGGGTAGGATGCTCTTCGGGGGGTCGATGCAGATCCGATGGGCCGAATAGCTTCTTTCTGCGCTGCAGGGATTCTGTGATTCTATTTGAGACCCCCATCCTTTTTAAGAAATCCGCCTTTTCAGATTTAATAAGGAATTGGTCCCACACCCCTTGCCCCAAATCTTTGCATTCGGCCCTCCCTTTTGAAATATCCTTTCTGCGAGTTATTTTATAGAACTGCTTCTATCTCACCCTCCCGCCACTTCGCCCCCCAGTCAAAACAAAAACACAATTACAAATCTTGAGTTGGTTGCCTCTCGTAGGGAAGTTTACTCACAGGCTAAAACAGATGAAGAGGGGGAATCGTTTTTATTTTAAAAATGCAGTTCAAACAGTTTGAGAATTGACTTTAAAACAACCTATTGACTGTAGTATAGATATCAGATAAGACCAACTCAGATTAAATACAGCAAGGACAATTATTATCTCAGGCATTCTTAAGTACAGTAATGGAAAACTTTAGATTTTTTATTCCAAAAAAATTATTCACTTACCGTTCCCGGAGACAACTACATTTCTGCAGCTAAAAGCTGAACAGATTTGAAGAGTTACCTGTTTGGTGTATGAACGAACAGCGCAAAGTCTTGAACCTCTCTCTCCTGACAGCCAACCGTCTGGGAGTTTTCGTTGTTAAAAGGGTCTCTCGTCAGGAATTGCCCACGTTTTCATACCTGGTGCGAGCGTGTTTATTCCTTTCCTTCTGTTGGCGGGTTGGACTGTTTTGTGCTTTCGTTCTCGCTCTGCATCAGCAGCAACTTCCACAGACTGAACTGAGTTTCTATTCGCTAAATATTTATAGCAGCTTCTGGAGAGGGCACACGAGCCGAGCCGCCTCTCAGCGATAGGAGGAGCTGCGAGACACAGCAAGTCTCGCCCAGTCTACTGAAGGTTTCAGCGCTTCATCTCCCTCAGTGGAGAGAACAGGGGGGAGAGTGACAGGGGACAGAGAGAGAGGCAGGGGAGGGAGGGAGGCAGAGAGAGTGACAGGGAGGGAGAGTGACAGGGAGAGAGAGTGACAGGGGAAGGGGAGAGTGACAGGGGAAGGGGAGAGACAGGAGAGGGAGTGTAGCAA